CGTTCGTGACCCGAGGTACCTCTGTAACTATTTGCCATACCTTTTAAAAAGTAGATTGAAGTCTCCCCTTGCACTGCTATGAGCTCCCCCCCCCAAAAAAAATGCCAGGGTGCAAAATTTTGAGGTAGTTAAGAGCTACAGAGATGGGATAATCATGTAAAGTGGGTCAGGTTTCTGTAGGATATTTTCCTTCACTTTGAGATGGGCATTTGGGCTCTTTTTCTTGGTATTTTGCAGATGGTAATCTCTATAGAACCATGGCTGATCTCAAAAAAAAAAAAAAAAAAAAAACCCTAAGTAGGTCAGACTTGGGTAGTACGTGGGCAGAAGACCACTAGAAAATACCAAGGTTACAGTATAGGATAGATGAGAAGTAAAAAATAAAAATCCTGTAAGACGGCAATGGTAAATCAGCTCCATGTTGTTGTAAACACCCCTACACGTTCAGTTGATTTAAGTTCAACTCAAGGGGTCTTTACTTTTGTTTTAACTGTACAAAGTCTATTTGGGATCACATGCTATAGTATGTTTCACATGTTTATTGCATCAAAATGCTGAGAAACAGTACCACAAATTTTCTGCAATTGCAAACGGATCTGAGAGTCATCCCCAAAAGTTTCCAGGGACTTCCTAGGGCTTTGGGTTGCTCATTCAGGATATGCCTTATTGCATTCATTCCTGTACTAAGAATATTTTAGGCTTATTTCATAATGTTGCTTGATTATCAATATTTAACATTTATATTAGACTCTGTATCCATATGTATACTTTAAAGCACTGGAAAGAACATTTCCCAAAGTTAAAAATCACCTACTATTGCTATGTTTGCTTTGAATAAAAGAGAGGTAGAAGGCAATATTTTTAATAACCCACTCCTGGAAAGTGATTTCTGGATGTTAGATATTATTTTAGGCAGTCTTTTCCATTATTACCCAGTTGGGTTATTTTGAACACGCAGAGCATTTCTAACAACATAATAATGTTTTAAAGCCTTTTTAGACAGTCTGTGTAAGTATTTTCACATGTGGTCTAAGGTATTGGGGTGGGAAGCCACCTGGAAATAACTTTTTAAACAAGATCTGTAGTTATTATTGCT